CCTTTTTTTCTCCCTTCGGGTTCGATACCCGCTTTAGGTCCCCGTTTCACATCATCACAAGGAGGAAGAGTACTAGTGGGGTCGCCTTGAGTGGCACACCTCCACTTCCAAACATACCATTCGATTCCACTTCCTTAACATCATCATTCTTACTCTTAGGGTCAACCGAAAAAGTAATTTGCTCCTCTCCATCTCTCAAGATCATAGTACCCTCATTAACATCAATTAAAGCCTTGAAGGTGGCAAGGAAAGGGCTTCCTAGTATAAGGAGCATATCCGCATCTTCAATGATGTCCAAGATAACAAAATCCATCGGATAATAAAATTTGTCCACCCTTACTAGAACATCTTCCACAATACCCCTAGGGCTAATCACTGAGCGGTCAGCCAATGGAACACTCAGCCTAGTGGGTTTTAATTCACCTAGGTTCAATTTCTTGTAAAGTTTAAATGGGATGACGTTAATGCTTGCTCCTAAATCCACCAAGGAATTTTCTATATGGCATGCGTATATTGTACACTAGACATACAGTAGCATTTGCAATATAATTACATATTTTAGTAATACTTTATGACAACAAATATTTTTTGTAGTGTAATGTACGTGTGTCAGTTACAATTATCGAAAATGTGTGGAAGGTCTATAATTCAAATTTTTACACGGATAAAATCTGGATATCTCACACAAACTTCTTCTCCGTCGGTAGCTTCAACCCAACTTCTCCTCCCTAACTGCTTATAAGATCTGGTATCGTCTGTTCTTCTTTTTTGAATCCACATGTGTTATCCAGAAGTTCCACCCCTTATCCACTTCATGTGATTCTCATCCAACACAAACTCAGGAATATCGTCATTACAAGGCTGCTGAATTCGTCGAATCTCACATTGCGTCTCCCCCGAATTTGAAGAACATTATTAGCATCCCGGCCCACATCTAAACCGACTCACAAATACGCCTCAGCTTTTTGAATCCCACTCTCGAATCTCAACTCCCATCGTCAACTTTATAGTTGTTTAGGGATTTCAAAAGTATCTGTAGTCGTGGATATCCGCCCGAATCTGAACTAATTGGGTATAATAAAATGCGAACTTGAAGGATTTTTAATTGGTATGGGTAAAACCCAAACCCGAATATTGCGGGTAATGGGTGGACATGGTTTTCTCACTATCCAATTTGAACCTGCTCGATTATACACATGGATATGTCTTGTCTAGAAATTATTATTATTTTTCTCTAACATATTTTATATTTACAATACAAATATAAAATTTTTCATGAAATTGTATTATTTTAATTAATTTTCTTCATTCTAGTGATATATCGTCATATTCTTTACCCGCTAATTAGGCATTCTTTAAAGCTCCCTTCAACCAAAGCGACCAAGGAGTTTCAAAATACAAGGACGAAACGTCCACAATCAGCAACTGCAACACTTGACTACAACTGTTAAACAAACTCCCTCAAATGAGGTACTGACTATATTTCTGCTCCCATGGTCTGCTAGCTCGTCCAAATAATCTACATCATCTCTTCTTCCATATTAGATCACGTACCAGCTCCAAAGAACAGAGAAACATCTGCCTTGAGCACCACCACTAACAACCATCTGACATGCTGCTTGAAGAAAGCCATTCCACTCCCTCGGCCAATTTATGCCAAACCTCCCAAACAGTTTAGTAAACAAACCTATGCTATTTCGTCATATTTTTTCTCTTATGTAATGTGAGTATACGTGTGAATGTTAACATGTTGGGTGGAGTTATAAATAGAAATTATTACCCATGGTTAACCATGGATTCCTGAAACCTGAACGAGTATGATGATGATTTTGATTTTCTACCCGATTCTTTATGTGAGTATGGATATGAGTAAAACCCGAACTACTTTGGATAATTTAACATATATGCACTATCAGTCCTCGACCCGTTGCCATCCTTATAGTTGTTGGCGTCGAGGAAGTCACCTCAGATCTCAATTTGGTGAAAGAGCACGATTAAGAAGGGCAAGGTCAATACGAAGCGGAAAAAAAGCAGGATCGACATGTTTTCACCCCGAAAATTAGAGCTAATGACAAGAGCTTTGTTTGTTTCAGTAAATTTTATTTGTGTGTGTGTAAAAACGGAGTGCAAGCCGGCACCCCAACCATTAACTATTAATCAAGTGAGATGTTTCCACCCCAATGCAGTCAAAGTACATCTAGTAATTAAGCATCGGATCCGACGCTTCTAGTAGGTGCACTCCCAAGCTTAGGTGATGTCCGTGATCTGCCAAGTAATCCACCACAAAATTACCCTCCATGAAAATATGAAGAAGTTGGATCTCCCAGTATTGCTCTTCCAAAGTAACCAGCATACCCCTGCAAATAGAGTTGGTTCAACACTTTGACTCCTTCCCAGCGAGTAAGGAAGAATCCAGCGTGTCCTATCTTCTTGAAAGAACATGTCGTCCGACTTCACTTCCAAGAAATGCTTCCACACGGCCCAGGGGAAGGAGTAATCACATACTAGAGGGATATCATGTATGCTACCTTCAATGATATAGCTTCTTCCGGTAAATTAAACGCATACTCAGCCGGCGGGGGGCCATCTTGCAACCATCAATCCTTTCAGAACAACGCTCTGCTGCCTACTTTGAATATTCCACATCAACGCATCTAGTAAGAGGTGAATCACCCTTAGGACCCCTCTCTATAAATTGAAGATATGACCAGTGGTCCTCGGTACGCACCCTTCCTTTGATTTCCTCATATAGTTTTTTTTTTTTATTATCCAGGAACACACAGTTTTTGTGGCTTGTAAAATGTGTAATTTTCCTTTTCTTAGGCTGACTCTAATGGGCTCGCCAAAATTGGGGAATTGCCATCTCCAGCGGAGTGAATTAAATGGCGACGACAATTTTGGGGAACATCGGCAACAGCATCGGCAAATTTGGAGAAGTTTTTGGCGATTCATGGAAAAAGGGAACTGGGCGACTGTTGGGTAGGACAACCGCCAAACCTTGTTTTTTTTAATGGGCTATAGGTATAATATGCCCCTCTACTATGACGTTTTATCAAACATGCCCCCTGTAAATTGGAAAAATTATCAAACATGCCCTTCAGTTGAAATTTTCATTGAAAAAATCATCAATCATGGTTGAACCGAGATTTAGACGACCTGACATCGATAGATGGGAGAGGAAATGTCAGTTTTGACCCTTGTTTTATTTCTCTAGGTCTCGTCAAAGTGAAATTATTAGAATTATTTGGCTATAAAAAAGAACAAAAAAACTCTAAAGTGAAATTATTAGGGATATTTTAGATATTAGGGTCGCCTAAACCAAAGTTCGGTCTTGGTTAACGGTTTTTGGATGAAAATTTTAACAAAAGGGCATGTTTGATTAGTTTTCCAAAGTACAATGGCATGTTTGATGTAAAAAATAGTAGATGGGCATGTTTGATAAAACGTCATAGTAGAATGACATATTATACCTATAACCATTTTTTAATTTATTTGAGGGTTAATTATGAGGATTAATTAGGATGATAATTAGAGATTTAATGAGGAATTTAAAATCTGGCCGTGGGGAAACAATATCATTATTGCCATAAAAGAAATTACCAAATCAAATGAAATTACTATAAAAGAAGCTCTAAACGTCAATCTTGATGAATTGCAGATAAAAAATATTTTATGAGATGAATTCCTTCGCATTTTGGCTCTACATTTATCATTTATGGACTTGAAATGGCTTCCAGATTTTGTGCACACCATGATAAGTTAGGTCAAATATTTTTTTGCAAAAAAAATTCGGTCTCAGAATTTAAAAAAATTATATCGAAAACTTTATATTTAAAAATGATGACAAACTATACAAAAATTAACATGAATAAATTATATTAAGATAATCATAATTCATAAGTACATTTTTAAATAAAAAAAATACTAGAAAAAATGGAGGTCCCCAAATTTGAAAATGGTGGCATTGGAGCAAAAAATCATCCAAATGAGAGTAATCCCCAAATTTGGAGATGAAGGAAGGTACTCAAATTTAGGAACTAGTATTGAAGTTGGTCTTATAATTGTTAATTGACAGAAAACTTAATAGATTGATATATTTGTTATTTTTCTATTATGAAGGGATATCAAGGTGCAAAATAATAATACATATCTATATTCGTTAACTTGCAATAGTATAAAAATATTAAATGCTATTATTAATGTAATAATGTGATTAAAGAAGTAGAGTTTTTTTTTTTTTTTGTTAAGGCTGGAAACTAGGAATTTAAAGAACCGAGCCCTAAATTCGGATATCCGAGGACTCGTTCACAACCCACCCAGTACCCATCTCCTCTTCCTTTCCTTCTCCATCCGTTTATGCTCCGCGCCCTCTCTTCCCTTCTCTCTGCACCGTCCCCTAAAACCCTAGCTTGTAATATTTCTGTCTCTCATTTTCTTTTTATTTATTCGGCGATCTTTTTAGCGGTATTGTATTCTTGAATCCGACCTTGGCTGGAGCGGTACTAGGTTTCCGATCCGACACCCGTTCGGGTTATCTTTTTATTCCCCGGATTGTTTGACCCGATTGGATCAGGCGGGTGCCCCAAGTCCATTGAACTCGGTTTCCCGCCGCGAGCTCTCTGCTGCTTGGCTTTCCCCCCTTCCTTGCATTGCATGGCGACCCCTACGGTTCTGTTCACTTGCTGCACCGATGACCCTTGAATATCTCATCTCCACCAGGCCTCTCCGATCTGGGTTCTGCCATCTGTTCTTACACCATCGAATGTTGATGGGTAATTCGCCCAGGTGCAAATTTTTTGGCCCTTTCTGCTCTGCAGTTCTTTGTTGGTGAGTGCTATCTTGTGCGAATGTAATCGTGGATGGAACACAGGAAGTTGGTCGATTTCTCTCGAAATTTGCTTCGGATGCTCGTTGTTGTTTGTTGCATTGTTGAAATTGTTTATAGCTGAAGTTTGCTTCCTGACGGCCAGGTAGTATAGAAGGGAAAAGGGGATTCAGCAATGGAGTTATCTGATGCAGTGGCGGTGAAGTCTAGCAGATTGAAATCCGTGGTCTGGAATGACTTTGATAGGGTGAAAAAGGGGGACACTTTTGTTGCTATTTGCCGGCATTGCAAGAAAAAACTGAGCGGGTCGAGTACCAGCGGGACTTCGCATTTGAGGAACCACCTGATAAGGTGTCAGAGAAGAAGCAGCCATGGTATTAGCCAGTATCTCACCCCTAGGGAAAAGAAAAAGGAAGCAACACTTGCACTTGCCAACGTGACTATGGATCAGGATCAGAAGATGGTGGAACCACTTACCATCTTGAACTACAAGTTCGAGCAGGGACAGCTGAAAGATGAACTAGTAACTGTCGCAAAGGGTAACATGGACCAGAGGAGAAGTCAACTTGATCTCGCACGAATGATCATTCTTCACGGCTATCCATTGAGTATGGTTGAACATTCTGGGTTTAAATTGTTTCTCAAGAATCTGCAACCGCTGTTTGAGCTTGTAACCTTCGATAAAGTTGAGGCTGACTGTAAGGAAATTTATGTTAAGGAGAGGCAGAAGGTGTACGAGGTGCTCGATAAATTGCCTGGCAAGATTAGCCTTACTGTTGATCTGTGGACTGCTGCAGATGTTGGTGAGTATTTGTGTTTGTCGGGACATTATGTTGACGAATCTTGGCAATTGAAGAAGAAGGTGTTGAATTTTATAATGATGGATCCTTCTCATACCGAAGACATGCATTCAGAGGACATCATGAACTGTGTAAAGGAATGGGATATTGACCGCAAGTTGTTTTCAATGACAGTTGATAGTTACTCTACTACTGACAATATGGTGTTTCGGATCAGAGATCAGCTGTCCCAGAACAGATTCTTGTACTGCAATGGTCAACTATTCGAAATACGGTGTGCTGTGAATCTTGTCAATCTAATGGCACGTGATGCGTTGGATGCACTCCTTGATATCACAAATAAGATTAGGGAAAGCATCCGGTATGTCAGAAGTTCACAACTAATCCAAAATAAATTCAGTGAGTTGGCCTTACAAGCTGGAGTTGTTTGTGAAACTGAAAGGTGCTTGTTGCTTGATAGTCCATCACGTTGGGACACTACATATTGTATGCTTGAAACAACATTGGAGTACAGGAGAGCGTTCTCTCTCCTTCGGGAGCAAGACCCTGCCTTCATGGTCTCCCTATCTGATTTGGAGTGGGAGAGAGCTGCTACTGTGTCCAGCCACTTGAAGTTATTTCTTGATGTGATTAATGTTTTCACGAAGAGCAAATATCCAACTGCAAACATATATTTCTCTGAGGTCTGTGATATTCACCTGCAGTTGATTGAATGGCGCAACAATCCTGACGAGTTTATGTCTAACGTGGCAGCCAAGATGAAAGGCAAGTTTGATGAATATTGGGACAAGTGTAGTTTGCCTCTTGCAGTTGCTGCCATGCTAGATCCTCGTTTTAAGATGAAGTTGATAGAATACTACTACCCACAGTTATTCGGTAATGGGTCTGCAGAGTTTGTTGATGAAGTGTTTGGGTACATCAAGACTCTTTACAGTGAACACTCAATTGGATCCCCGTTAGCTTCTCTTGACCAAGGTCTGGCCTACCAAGTTGGAGTTGGTGGTAGTTCTGATGCCTTATCTATCTCTGCACGGGATAGGTTCATCAAGTTTGACAAGTTCCTCCATGAAACTTCCCAAAGCCAATGCTCCAAGTCTGATTTAGACAAGTACTTGGAAGAACCGCTCTTTCCCCTAACTGCAGATTTCAACATATTAAACTGGTGGCACGTTCACACTCCCAGCTATCCCATACTAGCCATGGTGGCTCGGAACGTCTTGGGAGTCCCAATGTCGAAAGTTTCGCCAGAGCATGCTTTTAGCAATGGAGGACGAGTCCTCGAACATCAGGACTGGTCTCTGCAACAACCCGATACCGTGCAAGCTTTGATGTGTTGTCAGGACTGGATAAGGAATGATGTGGAGAGACGTGACTACTGATTTCTTTCTCAACTTTCCATCTCCTTTCCCTCCCTGTGATGATTATCAACTCAGCCATGTGGTTACATCCTCATTCATCGCAACCAATCTGTGCATCGCTCTTTCCGAATCTCGACTGTTACGGTCTGTCTGTCTGTTTACATTTTATATTTTTCGTATTAAGATTCTGTTACTTTCTGTTTACGTTTTATATTTTTCATATTAAGCTTGTGCTGGTTTTCATGTGGATTTCGGGTATGTTCTCGTGTGGGTTTCCAGATCTTAATCAAGGCTTGGAGTAACTTAGTGTAGCATGGGAGGAGGAGGAGGAGGAGGAGGAGGAGGAGGAGGAGGAGGAAGAGCAACTAAGCGGGCAACATTTGCTTACGCAATAATCTGTAGTTTGCTTAAAAGAGCAGACAGGATCCGAACTCTGTTAAGCTTATGTGTCGTATGTATATTAACATTACTGGAGGGCTTGTACTTTATCAGAAGTATCATTTGTCGCCCAACTTTTTCAAAAATGATTATTGTTGTCTTAAATTTCATTGGCGTCAACTTTGATAGTTAGTGGTCAACGGTTAATATATTGACTGCTGATGGTGCGTCAATTGATTTGCACTCTTTTACCACATTATGTAGGAAACAAATAAAATTACAAATTTAGAAAAGTGTTGCAAATTTTCTATGAAAAAGAAAAACTTACCAAAATAAACTAACAAATTTTAAAAACAAAACAAAAGAGGGTTAATTGCAAGGTTGGTCACTGAGATTACAAAAAATGTTCATTTTTGGTCACTAAAAATATTTAATTTCATTCGTGGTAACTAGTTTTGGTAGGACATGTCATGTTTGGTCACTCTCCGTTAGTCTCCGTTAACACTGTTAGGATTTTGCTGACGTGGCTAACAAAAGTGATGATGTACCCAAATTGAAACAAAATATAAACCGACACGTCAGAAAAAATGCCACCTCACCAATGACCCAAACATAACCACATTCTACCTGACCTTCTCTTCCATCTTCCTGATTTCTCTCCCTACCTTCACCACCACCGGCCACCTCTCTGCCAACAACAACACCTCTTCTCCCAATCTTTTATTCATCTCTACAACCACCCGACCCCCTTCCCTAACCCTCCACATCCTATGCCATTCTCAAATCCATCACACAAGTCCGTTCCTCTTCCTCGATCCCATTCCTCTCCGCAAACCCCACACAGCTCTCTCTGCCATCGTCAACACTGGATACCATTTCTGCAACTGAAAAAAAGCCTGATTAGAATGATTGCACGCAGTCACTGATAGCTCATGGCTCAAACTAATTGAATTTGGATGCCAGCTGAACTATCGCGACCTATAATAGTCGAGATCGGTCGAGGAGGACTCATCGAGGATATTTCCGGAGGGCAAATTGGGGTTTGGAACCAACAGGAGATGGACGAAGTGAGGACGACGTGTGCCATTTGAATCGACGACGACTTGTAAGACGTTAAGCCTGTCGAGGAGGTGAACCTCGAGGATCTTCAGTTGATGGTCGGTGGAGCCGGGAGTTTGAAGAGGTGGGAAGCGTCGGAGCCAGAGTAGATGGAGGTGTGCATTTGGGAGTAGGAGGATTCGAGGAGGGGTTGGGTCACGGGTCAATGGGTGACCATGGTTATGTTAGGTTTCCATGATGTGGCAGAGTCAAATTTTTTTTTTAGTTTAAAAAAAGGTGATTAGGCGATTCCATCTACCACGTCCACATTTAACGGTCAACTTTAACGGAGATGAACGGAGACTAACGGAGAGTGACCAAATATGACATGTTTTACTAAATCTAATGACCACGAATGGAATTAAATATTTTTAGTGACCAAATATGAACATTTTTTGTAATCCTAGTGACCAACCTTGCAATTTACCCAAACAAAAGCTAACCGAGACGCTATTCCCTATCGCTCGCACAACATCTTGTCATCCTTCCTCGACGCCTTAGACAAATGTGGTCTTTTCAAACTTTGAATCGATATCATAAACAGACATCTGCATTCCAAAGCTCGCACAACATCTTGTCATTCTTCCTCGATGCAGTGGACAAATATGGTCTTTTCAAACTCTGAATCGATATCATAAACAGACATCTGCATTCCACATTTGCTTCATCAGACCATGAACACCCATCTCTCTCACTCTCTTTGTAACACCAAACCCTAGTTTTCATGAGCCAAACCAATGGTTCAATAGTGTAATGAAAATCAATTGGTGTTACAGATAGTAAAACATCATACCATTTATTATTTTCCTAATTCCATCGTCAATGGTTATATAGTATTATGTTTTACAATTCAAACATTCATCTAATACGATTAACAAGCAGTGTTCAAGAAAACGCGATTAATCTCTCATCTAGGCGCGATCAATAGTTGGGTAGGAGGAAATCGCTCTGTCTAGCTCCGGACAATTGATCTAGGCGTGCTAAACGATTAATCTCCATGGAAAACGCCATATTGGCGCCTAGGCACTCGAAGACGGGTTTTCATTCTGGTGGGCGACGCCCAGAACAACTAATAAAGGGAGGAAAGTGTATCCTTTTTGTGAAAATCTCAAACCCTATTCTATTTCCCATTTTCATTCGACCAGTCGCTCCCCCTCATCGATGAGCAACGAGATCCCTCCTCATGGTTGGCAACTTGGGATGTTTGGGATTGTGAAAAAGGGTTGTATGTGTATATGAATGGCCGAATAATGATATGGCGACTTGGGTTATTGTGGAATATGGCTTATCTATCATATTTTTTTCAATGTTTAATCTCGCCTAGGCAACGACTAATCGGCCTGAGCGTTGGGCAGTGCCTCCTTGCCTAGATAGCACCTAGCGTCTTGTTGAACATTGTTAACAAGTGTAACTAAATCATTCTCATCTAATCTTGAACCATAATTCATTTTTCAAAACGTATAACTGTAAATCCCTAATGACCAATGCAGAATCAATATTTTCTGTACCTCATGATAAAGGAAAGAAGATTTATGCTTACAAATTCTGATCACTTAGCACTCGCTAAGCTTAGCGTTTTGTAAAAAAAAAAAATACTAAGCTTAGCGAGTTGTTCACTCCCACATATATGGCAAAAACTATGAGATAAAAGTGATCAAATAATTAAACAATCGTTATAAAAAAAATTAAACAATCAAATCAATTCATCTTAGATAAAATTCTATATCGACATTTAACATTTATCAATATTAGTTTCTCATACATTAGTAAACCATCAAACCAAAACATCATTAATTATCCATTTCATTGTATACTCGAACAATACTTATTTATACATCCAACTAGCTCATATCATTCATATCGATCCATTCATCAAGTTGCATCATCAATTAAACATCCAATTTTTTTATCGATAATATAACCTCGTACTAAAATTGATAAACTATCACACGCAACATATAAATCTAAAAGCATTGCACTTTCATTTGAAATACGTTATCACATAATTAGATCAACCAGCCAGATCTTAGAAAGATCCAGCCTCCTTTGCTCTTAGACCAGAAACATCTATAGATCTGAAAAACAAATCAGAGGACAAAAGTTCAACCCATAAAAAGGGGGAGGAAGGAGACCAAACGGAGGGCAAGCAACCACCTAACAAAGGAACGAAGCCAATCAATGACTGCAAACTGACAAAAGAGAGGAGAAAAGACGCAGATCTACAAAAAACAAGCAAGGAACAGAAGAAAACTGAGACAAGAAGTCAACCAAGAGGGAGATGAGAAGAAAGAAAAGCAGAAAATCAAAAGGGGCGGGGGCGGCGGGCTACCGGCGATCGCCGGAGAGGCGCTGGCGGCAGCCCCCTCAACTGTCTGGAAGAAGTTGTAGAGAGAAGGCAGAGAAAAATTTTAGAGAGATAGAGAAGTTTTTGATGAGACGTTAGACTCTTCAGGGCCCCCGTCCATTTGGGATCCGCCGCCACCTCCTTCCTCCACCACGACGACGCCGACACTACTCCCCCCACCGCAGCCACAAAAACCGCCACTCCAGTACTGACTCCAATCTTCACACCTTCAAGTTGTGGGCTTCCTTCCATCCATTCACCACACATTCTGGCGAGCGAGCTTCCTTCCCTCAGAGATTGATATGTTTTGGAACACCTCGACATCTCCAACAATAAGTTCTTCGACGATCTTGCCACTACAATTAGGTCGTGCTTCAAGTTCATTTCCCTCGTCGAAAACGCTTTCCATGGAGGGACCTGCTCGTCGATTCAGCTTGTCAAGGTCTTGTTACACTCGATTTACTTTGAAGAAGATTGATTTGTCTTTCAACAATTTCGTTGGTGGGTTATCCGATACCTTCTTCGAAACGCCCAATTTGGAGTCTCTAGATCTAAGCTCGCATGAATTAGAGTGTCAAATCCTGGGTGCTCTATGCTCCTATAATTGGAATGGAGTATTAAAAGAACTCTCAAAGACCATCCCTCACATCATCAGTAGCTGCACAAATCTCAACTAAATTTCTCTGTCGACTAACAAGCTCATTGGCGAAATCTCATCATCGATCAGCCAACTCTCTAGCCTCGCCATTCTCAAGCTTTAGTTTATTTTTATTGAAATAATATATTGTTTGGTTAACATTAATAATTAATCATGTGGCATGGTCAAACATTTGACTTCTTGTCATATCATCAAAAGATTTTCATCTCATTAAAGTTTCTGTCATATCAGAGTCAATTAACATTTAACCGGATGAAAAAGTTAACGGTTTGGCTAATATTTTGTTTTTAAATAATTTGGCTATTATTTTGTTTAAAAGCAAAGGTTTGGCTATTATATTATATTTTAAAAAGTAACATCTTTCTACCATCGAGTTCATTGGGTGTCGTGGAGAGCGATGTGTAAGAGTAAGGAGGAAGGTGGGCTTGGTTTTCGCGGATTTGCGGCTTTTAATCGGATCTGTTGGCCAAAATAGGTTGGAGTATTTTGTAGGATCCACATTCGATGTTGGCTCATATCTATAGAGGAATGTACTTTCCTCGTTCAGGTTTTCTTCACGCCAGTCAAGGTGCCTCACCGTCTTGGGGCTGACGTAGTGTCTTACATGGCCGCTAGTTGCTTATCAAAGGATTACGATGGCAAGTTGGTTTTGGGCATTCCATTAAGATCGAGTCCGCGGCTAGGGTCCCAAATTTATTTTTGGCACCCCAACTTTCCTCCCTAGTGCAAACCCAATTTAGGAGTTGCTGGCTTCTTTGATTTATCATGATCATAGGGTGTGACGTTAAGATCGTCTGAGGCAGTTTTTTTCTCCAACTACACTTGATTCTATCTTGGGGATTCCATTGTCTTGTTTTTCATTAGAGAATTGGTTGGTTTGGCATTGGGAGCCTTTGGGGTGTATCCGGTGAAGTCAGGTTATCACCTTGAAGTTTCATCCAATATTGCGGCTCTGAGGGTGCACGTTGCCTCAGCCTCCTTGCTTGATAGAGATTTGTGGGATTGAGTGTGGAGTTTACCTATCCCTCCCAACCTTTGTACGACCTTGATTCTCACTATACGACAATGCCATCTTAGACTAAACTTGGCATATGAAGGGGTAGTTGTTGACACATGCTAACCACTAACAATAATCTGCACAGACAGCTACAGGCGGTTTAATCAGGGACATTCTTGGGAGATGCATCAATGTTTATGTCTGCAACCTTGGAAGCTGCTCGATCACAATAGCTGAGTTGAAAGGGGTGGTCGAGGGCCTCAAGATCATTCGGGATAAGGGTCACAAAAAAAACTTCAACTGAAGCTCAATTCGACGACATCCATTGGCGCATCATGAAGGATAGCAAGGAAGGATGATAGTCATCACCACGGTTTGCTTGCACATCAAGTTAGATAGATTCTCGGTAGAGATTGGAGAGTTGGCATATCTCATGTCCATAGGGAAAGAAATTTTGCGGCCGACTAATTAGCTAACAAAGGCCATAGTGCTGATTTTGGTACATATTCGTTCGATGAGGGTGATCCAGGTCTGAATAGATGGATCATGTATGATGTAATGGGCATCACCTAAACCCGCTCAGTTAGTAATGCTCACTATGACGCTTTCGCGCCGTCTTTCTACAAAAAGGAAAAAAAATTACACTAAATTCAATGTAGCCTAGTTGGTTGTAGTGCTCTTTCTTCATTTAAGTGATTAGGATTCAAATCCCAATAATAAAAAATTTAATATATAAAGATATATTGGTTGCAATTTTGAAATGACATTTCTAGAATCACTTTCTGGGCACGAAATTTGAAATGAGGATTGCAGCCAAGGGTGTCAAACGATTTATACCATTTTGCCGGTTTAGCAAGCGGAATGGTTCAATCACAACCGGTTTATGCCGGTTTAACAAAATATGTAGAAAAGTGAAAAAAACATTAATATAAAATGAATGTGTCATATATAAAAACATATTTGAAGATAATTTACTTACAATTCATATTCATAATTATATAAAATACTATATTTCAAATAAAATAAGAAGTACTTGTATTTAAGTACAACATTAATGTCAATATCTAAATTTTTATACTTGAATCCAACAAATAATATCAACATCTAACTCTTATATTCATAAAATAAATACAAAATTAATTTTTTCCTAAAACGATATTATTTTTCTTAGATATCGTAAATCAATCATGCCGGTAATACCAATAGTGTTCTCACCAATTTTATAAGTGACATTGATTAAATCAATTTAAACCGAACGACATTTCACCGACGTGACAAAAAACGGTTGCTTTCCATTTTCTACTATAAAAGGTAGGTGTAAATAGTTTAGGGATTTAGGCTATTAGGAGGGTAGTTTAGGAATTCCAAGTATAAGGAAGTCCGGCTGTTACAGAACAGTACGCTCTGTTGTCTGTTCACCCAAAACAAAAGAAAAACAGTAGGCTCCGCTCGATTTTCTTCCTGGCTGAAGGCAAGTCAGCCACCTGTTCGTCTTCTTGATCAGGAGGTGAGTATCAAAATTGTTAATGGAATCTCTCTATCAGCTAAACTTTAATTTGATGGCGTTTGTTGGAAGGCTACTGCGATTGCTCCACCGAAGAATATGAAGATATGTCATGTGATTTTCGTTGTTCTTCAACCACTCGACTGTTGTTAGTTCCTTGAGTCGATTGAATTAAAATGCTCAGAATAATTTGAGATTTGAATTCTGTTATACGATGGAGGTGAGTGCTTCATCAGGCGGTGCAGTAGCCACTGATTGAAATTCTAAGTTATTGAGATGGCCACGAATTGTCCCTCATTCACTGTCTTTGTCTCTGTCTGCATCCTGTTTCCAGCTTCCACAATGTGTTCCTTCTTACTTGTCGACTAATCAAATGTATGTTAGTGCTCGTTAGATTTTTTTTTAATCTCATTATGGTTGATACTCTGAATTTCTAATTTGACATAGTTTAGTTTGTAACTGATTTCATAGGATAACCTGCATTTAGGTCTACGATGGCGCTTGATTTCCTAGCTTTATGCACACATGATTATAATCTAATTTAGGACTTGGGTTGTGCTCAGCTTTGTGGTAATGAGAGCTTAAATCGTGCTCAGCTTTGTGATTATAATCATGTCTATTGACTAGAAACCCTTTCTTCTATTTTCAAACACCCTTCCATATTGGCCTATTTGTCAGCTGAGAAGCATGCAGCTTTGAAGCTGATTCATTTTCTTGTTTGGTGCTTGATTTCCTCTCATGATCTGGTTTTGATGATTTTGTGAAAGTGATTAAATAGTTCCTCATTATCAGTAGCAGAACTAAATAATCCGATACTTCATTTCTTTTAATGTAAGAGAACTACATAATCTAATATGTTCCTTATGTGATCACTTTGTTGGAAGGTCAATTTGGATGTTGTGCAATGTTTTCTGCTGGAACTGGTCTTGTGCACCCTCCACTGCTCATGCTTCCAAAAAATTGCTATTGCTTAATTTGGGTTTCACATATTGCATAGCTTGCTACTTTCATACATACCAGTATACCATTGTACTCGATCCGGTCCTTATTTAGAAATAATGGCTCCTGTGTGAGCTTATGGTGATCATATTGGCGCCCTATCGGCAATCATATGGTGAACTGAGTTGTTGTTCTTGTAGTTTCAGGAATGTTGAAGCATGGAACCAGAAGATCCTGGCTACTCAGTAACCGGAGGTTGCTATTCATATCCTTATTTGTGGTTGTAATTCCTCTTATCTTGTTTTTTCCTCAAGCTGCACCACGGAGCAGGGGTGACTTTGAGTCAGATCAATATAACGCGACTGTTGAACTCAGAAACGGAACCGAGGTCATATGGCAGATACCTCAGTCTTGTAAAGCTGTCCTATTTCTGGCTCATGGTTGTAATGGCAGAGCTCTTAACTTCTGGGACAAATCTCCCAGCTGTGCTAATTGCATCGGTTTACCCGAGGAGAGGCTACTTGTGTCAAATGCGCTTGCTCGTAACTTTGCTGTTGTCACAATATCAAGCAGAGGAAGGTGCTGGACATTTGGGGAAGAGATGTTAACTGTGAAAGATATGCTTGAATGGTGGGTGCATAAACATAAGATTCACACAGTTCCTCTTGTGGCCTTGGGGGCCTCTTCTGGTGGGTACTTCGTTTCTGCTCTTGCTACCAATCTGAAGTTCAGTAGTATTACAATCATGATTGCTGAAGGAGTTTTTGGTGAGATGGATATCCCAGAGGACTATCCACCTACTCTTTTCGTCCATATGCCGAAAGATGTGCACAGACAGCAACAGATAAGTGTATATATGGAGATGCTGAAAAGTAAAGGCATCGATGTTGCAGAGGTTGAATGCTTAGACCTTCCCTTGTCAAAGAATTTCTTAGCTGACAGAGTTCCAGGACTTGATCCAATTGTCTCAGCCAAGTTGTTTAATCTATTCAAGGACAAAGGTTTTGTTAATGAGCAAGGATACATGAAAAAAGATGGGCGTGCTACACGCTGGAAAGAAGCTCTCCGAGGAAGTCAGATCATGCTGGACAAGAATTTGTTCCAGCATGTGCAGGAGGAACTAAACCTTGCTTTTGCATTCCATGAAATGACGAGCTTGCCATCTGATGCCATATTTAAATGGTTTGAATCCCATATGAAGAGTTCTTCTATTTCACGCAAACCCCACCATCTCCTTGCAGTAGAATCACCCAAAAATTGAGAATTACCGCAGATGGTTTCACGGTTAGTATCTCATCAGTCTTTTTCTCATAATCTCAGAGTTCTCCATGTTTGCACCAATGCTCTTAGTTAGAGGCATTGTATTCTGATCTGAAAATTGAGCATTTCTTCTACGAAATTAATTGATGAACAGTAAGAGGCATGGAAAACAGAGTGGTTTAAGTTAATGGCTCGCAGTTATATTGTTTATTTGATGTAGTAGTTACCCGTAGTTGTTGCAGAATGTTGCAGTAAAAATTTGGTAGCTCCGTTCTGCATCATTGACATGTACAAACCCGTAAACTGTTTGTGCATAAGGTAACCGTGGTGCATTAGTCTTCCATCCTAGCCCTGGTAGCCGTTTTTTTTTACTTCTCCCTGCCAGAAATTCTCTGTAATTAGAATGCATGATCCCCTTCGAGCCCAGCGTATTATGCCACAGACTCACAGGTCACAGCCCACAAGCAGATGTTACGCTGCTTTAAGATCCCCTTCCTTGGATGTCAAATTACTTACTTGGTGCTTTTTACACCACCTGGCCTGGCCATCGTCTCCTTGTTTTCCATTATTTCTTCTGCTCTGCATAATTTCCCCTATTAGGAGGCTTCACTTTCATTAGATAAAAGATTAGAGAGCTATCTGCTCAATGGCTAAGCAGGTTTGCTTTCCCGTGTTTGACAACCTACTTGCTGTCCTTTGTATATTTTTAGATGATGATTGATACCTTGCACTCAAGTGGAAGGACATCCATATTTGTTCAACCCCATATCATTCTCCCTAAAATCATTTGACATGTAACGGGATGAACTTAATCTCACATGGTGGGGAAGGGGGGAAAGCATGGAAACTAATAAAGAGAACTACCTGCAATGGCTGATGAAGTATTTATATTGTAATATCAATGACATATGATTCGGATTAGATTACATACTTTTACACCATTTTTACTTGCGACGTTTGATGTGTTTGCACCGTCCTTTGAGCTAGTTTACACGGGATTTGTTCGTGTTTTGTCACGTTTTAGACCTAAGCAGGTAATCAAGGCATCGGGATTGAAAGTCGGACGAAAGAGGTAGAAAATTGAGCAAAGGATTTGAAAGTGCAAAGATCACCGTTGCGAAGCAATTGTCATTGACGCAGACCGTGAATATAGCACTCAAACCGTGAAGATCGCAAGATTCCACGAAGATTTGTATGCTTCGCGGGCAGTGTAAAGATCACGGTCTCAGACAGTGATGTGAACCAGCAGCTCGTTAACTTCGTATGTGATACGGTGCCTTTTGCGCCAAAATCATGGTTCCCTTGTCGACTTCACGCGCGTGATCTCAGACCGTGATTCTTGCACTCGTCGATTATAAAAGGGAGAGTTAGCTGGATTCAAAAGAGAGAGTCGTAGAGAGAGATTGGAGCTTCTTCTTCAAGGTTTAGAGAGAGAGAGCTACGAGATAATAAAGAAGGAGAATTTCACCTACCCAAGGCTAGAGGAAGGTTGATTTCTTCTCCAAAGGTTGAATCAAGCATCTAAGAAGCAGAAAAATCATCTTGCTATGGGTTTTTCTTCTCTCTTATTTGTATTTTCACCTCCAGTTATGGAGTAGTCTCCAATTTCACTTGGATGTTGTGAACCCTATTCTAGGATGTGTTAGATTGTAGGAATTGAATTGTATTGTGTGTTGGATTTGTGATTAATATAATGTTTGAGGTATTATTCATGGAATTTGGGTGTTGATTGTTCATATCACAATTTTGGGACTAGTTGACTAGGAGGAAATCCCCTTATAGCCCAATATTAACAATTTGGGTAACCTACTCTAGAGCAATTCGAGTAATTCCTCATTCATCGAATTAGTGTCATGATATCGTCTTGATTGGTTACTTTTCACTGTTCCAGATTACTTTTCGAGAGAGAGATTTGGTAAACCATGGTCGATAGATTAAGAGGCTTATGGCTTCATCACTAATCGTGACAATCCTTAATTGATCGATTGGGATGTTTGGAGTTTCCCTAGCTAGTTGTGATCTCCTACTGGTATATGATATACCAATCACACTAGAGTTTGCTTGTTGTATATTGACACGAGAGTAGAGGAACAATATGTGAGTGATTCTTTCTCAACCGAACTCACCAAAGTATACTTGCTTGTTTAATTTGTTTATTCTTCTTAGCTTTAACTACAATCCAATCGCTAGATAACGTGTGAACAATCGAAGTAAGTGCAGATAGACCGCCCGAGTTGATATTAAAATACTTACCCTATCCTACACCCTCTATAGGTTGCACTTGGTCTATAGTTGGGATCAAACTGTAATAATAGCGCGAGTCAAGTTTTTCTGGTGTCGTTGCCAGGGAACATGGTCTGTTATGTGGAAAAAGTTGTTTACTGTTAATCTAGCACTTCATTTTCACATTTTGAGTTTGGATCTTGCTTGTCTTGGCTTGTGTTGTGTTGTGTTTTGTGAAGTGTGTGTAGGAGGTGTATGATCCAAGGAGGAAGTTGAAGTTGAGAAGGAAGTTGAATTCGAAGAAGATGTTGAATTTGAAAACCTTGAGATAGCAAACAAAGGTGAACAAGGAGGTGATGAAGCCATGACGATGGGCTATTACATGTCTCCACGGGTGGGCGACATCCAATTGAGCATTCTTCACTTGCCTGTGGCAGCCAATAACTTTGAAATTAAGACGAGCCGCATCACCATGATTTAGAACAATATCCAATTCAATGGACTTGAAGATGAATCCCTGGGGTAGCATATCAATCGATTTTACGAGTTGACGGATGACTTAAAGATCAATGGGGTACCTCAAGACACCCTTCGGTTTAGACTTTTCCCCTACTCCCTTGGTGGGAAAGCTCAGAGTAGGCTCAACAACAGGCCTGCGCTCTCGATTACATCATGGGGAGATTTGCTAACCAAACTCATGAATTGGTACTGCCCGCCTTCCAAAACGACATAGTTTTGGAAGCAGATCACTCACTTTGCCCAAGAGATGATTGCATTGTTTGAAGAAATGGTCGTTAAGGGCTATGATTGAGGGATGACAAGGCTTGGAAGTAAAATTCGTGAGAGGGGAGTGTACCCCATTGAAGCAAATCCTCCAGTTGCGGTAAAGATTGATGAGTTGATCTAGGTGATTTCACATGATAAGAAGCAATGGAAGAGCTTGGTTATGGTTTGTGATTGGTGTTCAAGTCCTAACCAAGAAGTTGAAGAATGTCAAATCATGAGGGAGGTGAGCACTCTGGAAGAACAAGTGAACTTTATTGTCAATGCTAGTGGGTCAACTCCTTTAGCAATACATACAATCAGGGGTGATGCAATCATCTCAACTTTGTATAGTCATCACCAACCATTCCAAAGCCACCCGGTTTCCGAGGGCCAATCGGAGGTTATTAACCAAGACCTCCATTTTTTCGAAGGCCACAATTTCATTCCTCAAATTTCAGCAACAACAATATCAACCACAAGGTGTGCAAGGGTTTCAACAACAACAACAACAACAACCTGATAGGATCTCCAAACTCAAAGAACTAATCACAACCTTTGTGAGTACATGTTGTCAAAATTTTGAGAAGATTGAGAAGCTCATGGAAGTCGCAACAAACTATTTCACTTCGGTTGAGGTGGGTTTAAGATTTCATCAAGCAAGTCTTCAAAACTTGGAGACTCAAATTGACAACCTTGCCGAGATCCTCACCGAGAGACCTGAAGAAGATCTACCTTCCAAAACCGTGGCTAACCCCATAGATCCAAGAGTGGTGGTGCATGCTATTACACTAAGAAGCAGGAAGTAACTTGATCGATTCATTGCGTGTAGGTCATTGTCATTAGTTTGCACGTCTCAATAACTACCCATCCTAGGCCAAGTTTAACCTAAAATGGCATTGTCATATAGTGGCAATCAAGGTCGTATTCGCTCGGGTCCCGTTACCCTAGCCTACTTCCCACGTTGCTGCTAAGTAGTCGGTCAATTTAAGGGGTTTGTGTTGGAGGATTCAAGTGAAATACTAGTAGAGAGAATAAACAAGGATAAAAGCATGTACTTTGGGGAGCTATCTCTCACCCTAGCCTAGGTTTATCATTCAATGTCTAAATAAGTTAGGTTAAGTGAATGTGGTGAGTGACCTCTTTTCCGTGGGCCTTTGTGATTATCCACATGCCTCTGAGTATGCCTCCACTAAATCCATGTCACTCACCTCGATCTAGGCTATCATATCTGGGTCTTTAAGAACATAGCTCCTTTCAATAGGTACTACCTACCGTCCACACCGAGGTTTCATCATGGGTTCCAACTAGGAAGGTATTCTCATGGCAGGGGTATGATCGCCTCGTCCACCACAAGATCCTATTCATTCATCTAACCCTAATATGCCAGAAGAAGCATACCCATCTAATCCTAAAACTCCTTACCCAACGTATAAGCTCAAGTAGGCTAGTAGAGAAGATTAGGGCGACTTACCCAAGCATAATTAAAGATAGAGAAGCATTAACAGCTAGACAAACACATTCATTCAAAACCCTAAAATATTCATCCATTACATAATAGCCCTAAAACTAGAGTTTAGAACCCCTAGTACCTTAAGAGACTACTCCAACAAGGAGGGAAGAAGATACATAGAAGAATTTGGGGAAGACTTGATGTTGAGGAAGATGGCTCCTCTCTTCTAGCTCCTCCTCCTTATCCTCTTCTCCTTCCTTCATCTTATCTCTTTCTTCTCTCTCTAAATCAGAAATTTCTATCTCAAAATAAGCTCTCCCAAAATGGGGGAAGAGGGTCAATGTTTCCTTGTAGCTCACACGGAAGTTGTTCTAATGTTTCTACTGACCAGTCGAGAGGAGTGGGAGCGGATGATGCCAGACCGCCAATATTAGACTATACAAAGATGAAAAGTTTGGGTGATAGGGATTTTAAGGGAGATGTGAGTCCAGATGCTGTTGTAGAGTGGTTGATGGAGATGGAAGACGTGTTTGAAATTCTTTATGCGACTCCAAAGGAAAAAAGTACAATATGTTGTTTTTCTCCTAAATGGGTACGCCAAGAGTTGGTCGTCCTCAACCTCAAGAGTTAATGGCCAACGAGTTCCATTCACCTGGGAAGAGTTCCCGAATGCTTTTTAGACAAAATTTCTTCCTGACGCTTTTATCAGGGCAAGGAATAATGAGTTCGCCAACCTTAAGCAGAGGGACATGATAGTTACTGAGTATACGATCACGTTCGCCAAAAACTTGACACGCTATAACACAACACCAAATTGCGACCAAGTGTAATCGCAGTCCGGAAAATGCAGTAACAGGCAAGCTCTAATGTCAACCCGGTGTCTAGATCTACTGCCTACTCCGTGAATATCTATTGTCTAGCCAACTAAGTCAAGTGATTGTTGATTTAAGTAAAAGCAGTAAGAAAGCAGGAAATGGTTTGGTTTTCTGAAGCAAAGAGTCACTCGGGAATGAGTCCCCCTAGCCCCTTAGTTAGGTCTTAGTTGCAATTACCTGGGTTGATTTACTGTTGATTAAACTGCGGAAGATCCGGCAGTAGCTTGGAATCTCTTAAGCTGACCAAGCCCTCTCAGTCCAACTACCCGGCAGACGACTAGTCTTCACCGGGATAGAAAGCTGAGGCTATGAACACAGAACTCCACTACTGGAATTGGGTTCCAGTACAAAGCAGTAGATTGACTAACTCTCGTATAACCAATCTGCTACTACCGAATGATGAAGCTCTAACAACCTAATCAGATTCTATCTATCTCAGGTTGCAGCAGAAATCAAGAAAAGCTAATCAGACTTCAATTAATTCAATGAATCATGCATCATTCGATTAAAACCAAACAGTATAACAATCCCAAGTCATTACAATCAAGATCCCTAACACAAGGAACTAGGGTTCTTCATACCCAAGTGAGAGAAGGTTCTACTCCACAGAGAGAGAGAGGGAAACAGTATACAAAGTAGTCATACTCATAACAATGGGAAGAATCTGCTATGGGATGATGATCTTCACTCCAAGGATGATTTCCAAGCTTGATTGATGAAACCCAACTCCAAAACCACTCTTAGGGGGTGTTCTTCGCACTTTCTCTCTCTAGGGCTCTGTTTTTGCTCCAAAAAGTCGATTCCCTCTCTTTTGGCTCAAAATTGGGTTAAAACCCAAAAATTCCTGACCACACGGCCGTGTGGCTTTCCCAGCTGCCCGTGTGAGTGTGCAAAACGCGGCGTTTCGATAAGTGGACTTCAGGCACGCTACACGGCCAAAACCACACGGCCGTATGGATTTCCAGGCTGCCCGTGTGGAAATCACAGAGCCTTCACACGGCCACAATGGGTCCCCTACACGGCAGTGTGGCTTGCCCTTGCAATTTGGTGCCACACGGCCGTGTGGGTTTTTAGGCGTGCCCGTGTGGCTTGCTCAGCCTCTCGCCAAACGTCCAATCTTCGTCCAATCAACCCCGAACTTGTTCCCAAACCTTCATTTCCGTACTAGGACCTGAAATATGACAAACAAAAACAACCTAGCATGAAATCGGCCTAAAACACGAGAAATAAGACTCAAACGGTATAAGAATGGTGGACAAAAACATGTGTATATATCAAGTCATTAGTTTGACAACTCTATTTTGAAGATGGGTTGGCGGATACTGAGCATAAGAAGAAGATGAGATACTTACATGATCTGTGCCTAGGGAGGAAAGAAAATATCCACAGGGTTAATGAAGAAAGTTTGGCCACTATCAAGGAAGCAACACTTAAGTACGAAGCCTATGAAGTTGAGGATCGACAGGAACACAAGGCCAAAGAAGAAGAAAATAAGAGGAAGCTATGAGTAAATTATTTTGGACCTTGTTACCCAATAAGGAGGGGTCCTAGCACGGTGGTGAGAACACAGAGTCAATCTATGCCAGGAATATCATATAGGGCACCAGTTTCCTCAGCCGCACAATATCCATTTTGTCAAGTCTGTCAGAAGAGGAATCTTAGGGAGTGTAGGAGATTTTCTGGTGTATGTTTTCACTGTGGCCTGACTAGGCACGTCATGAGGGATTGTCCTTATATGGGAAGAGGAATAGCTACTTAGTCCGAGCCTTCAATGCAATTTAGTAAAGCCCCAACCAGGAGTAGTTATCAGGGAGACCGCAGCAGATATCATGGTGGTCGAGGTAGTTCACAAGGTGGTCGAGGTGGTGGTCAGAATCAAACATCTGGAATGGGTACACAAGGTGCCAGAGTACAGGGAACATCGAGGGTTTATGGAATGACTCGAAGTCGATGGAAGTAGCACCAGAAGTGGTGATTGGTATGCCTTCTATCCTTTGCAGGGAATTATATGCTTTGATCGATACTGGTTCCACGCACTCATTCATTTCATATATGTTTGCACATATGCTACGTTTAGTACCAGATAAGCTAGGTTATACATTATGTGTTAAAACACCCGTGAGAGATACCTTGAAGATGGATTCTGTAATTAGGAGTTGCTTTATTTGTGTGGAAGGAGCCTTTCTAAAAGCATATTTACTTCTGCTACCTTTTGAGTAATTTGATGTCATCATTGGAATGGACTTTCTGGCAACACATGGAGCTGTTGTGGATTGCCAAAAGAATGAGGTGTTATTCAACACACCAGATAAAGGTCTTGTTGTATTCTGAGGCATTAAGAAAAAGGAGACTCAAAGTTTTCTTTCTACCCTAGAAGCTTTTCGATTGGTGAAGGAAGGTTCTGGAGTCTTTCTTGCTCAAGTGATTATTGTTAATGAGAAGAAGCTTGAGGATGTAGAGGTAGTAAGAGAGTTTCCTGATGTATTTCTCGAAGAACTTCCCGACGTTCCACAAGAAAGGGAAGTGGAGTTTGATATTGAAATGGTACATGGCACAACACCAATTTCAATGGCACCGTATCGAATGGCACCAATTAGGCTGAAGGAGTTTAAAAAACAATTGCAAGATTTTTTAGACAATGGGTTTATTCAACCTAACATCTCACCATGTGGTGCACTGGTTTTGTTTGTCAAGAAGAAAGATGGCTCCATTAGAATGTGCATCGACTACTGGAGGTTGAATAAAGCGACAATGGAGAATCGTTATCCCTTCCAAGAATAGATGGCTTGTTTGATCAATTGCAGGGTGCATCAGTCATTTCTAAGATCGATTTGAGGTCAGGATACCATCAACTGAAAGTGATAGATGTAGCAACCTCAAAGACAGCTTTTAGAACCAGATATGGGCATTACGAGTTCCTGCTAATGCCTTTTGGACTCACTAATGCGCCAGAGGTATTTATGGCTCTTATTAGTAGAGTTTTCCACAAATATCTTGATAAGTTTGTGATTGTGTTTATAGATGATATTCTCATATATTCTAAGAGGGAAGAGGAGCACAAAACTCAACTTAGAATTATGTTTCAAATTCTCAGGGAGAAACAATTATATGCAAAATTCTAAATATGTGAGTTTTGGCAGAAGGAGGTAATATTTTTTGGGACATGTAATTTATGGAAGAGAGGTTTGGGTGGATCAGAAAAAGGTAGAGGCAGTGGTGAGTTGTACTCCACCAAAAGATGTGTTAGAGTTAAGAAGTTTTCTTGGCATGGCAGGTTACTATCAGCGATTTCTAGGGGGTTTGTGAAAGATTGCTGCACCATTGACTAAACTATTGAGTAAGAGTTCCATTCGGTTGACCTTGACACAAGACTTGGGGGGGGGGGGGGGGGGAGGGGGGAACCCGGGTGAAGTTTTCTCACACCGAATTCATCACAATTTACTTTCTTTGCTTGCTTTCAACTGTAGTTCTTTAGCTTTAAATCCAAATTGTTTGCTAGATAACATTTTAAATGATTAAAGTAGGGGTACATGGATAGCCTCGGGTTGACATTTAAATATTTGCCATATTCTACACTTGGTCGTTGGTTATACTTGGCCATCGATTGGGAATAGTGTAGTGTAGTAGCAAGTCAACTGACATAAACCGTTTGTACCATCGGTCAGACCATACGAATTGCCAAACCGACATCACAACATAAATCAATTTGATAACCTTGGTCGAAATCCTCCCAAAGGCTAAATCCCATAATCTTGTTGTCCTCCGGATTTCGGAGTTTGAATCGAATTGCCTCCATGGTTGTGACGCTATTGGAATGTTGGCTGATTCAACCAATCTTGAAATTGGCCTAAATATCACTAATATGACTGTCATGATCAATATTCAACTTATAAATAAAATGATGTCGTTTTAATGAATTTATATTTATTTCATGAATTTAAAAGTAAATGTTGATGTTGTTTGTTGGATTCAAGTATAAAAGTTTGGGCATTACGTTAAATTTGTATTTAAATATGAATATAGCGTAAGTCAATTTTTTTCAAATATGTTTTATATATTCTTGAATTAATTTGACATTAATAATTATTAACAATTATCAAACCGACAAAACATATTATATCACTGATATAATCATACAACATGTTAAACCTGAACAACGATATAAACCAGTTGATCTTTCAAATAAAATAAAAAGGAGATATAAATCAGTTGACAACATTGCTGCCTCCATAGTCCATTCCATTCCACCAAAACATGTATCCGGTATCCCAAAACCCACATTAACAGTGACGTCGGGTTTGGAAATGCAGTCCGCCTCTGCAGTCCTTCGCCCTGATTCCCATTGCCCCAACCCATCCGTTCTCATTGATTTCAGTTGCAGTCCCAAATTAAAACCCTCGTCCCTTCCCCGACGCGGGAAACCGTACAAAAAGCTCTGCTCCCTCACCAACAACCGCAACACCCAACAGTCGAGCCTATCTCAAAGCAACAGGGCCGATAGTAGATCGTCTCCCCGTCGACCTCACTCCTACTCAATGTTGGCCGAATTCTACTCTTCCGTTGGTCTTACCGCGTTCGTTTGCCAAAACCCGGCAGAGGGGGAGCAAATATTGACGAGTTCTAGCTTGGGGTGCACACCGGAATTTTCAAAAACATGTGGTGGCCTAACTTGAGCGTCATTTGGGCAGCTAATTAACTTTGAAGGGATTGTTTCCGCGGCGAGGGTTCTCCTCAGAGATCAGCATTTAGCCTGTCTCACATGGCGGCGCCCGATATTAGGTACATTGATTGGGTTGGACTCTGTAAGCGTGGTTTCAAAGATGTGGTTTTCAACAAGGACAACACGATTACCCTGCCTTACTCTTTGGCTCTTTGGGCACCTCTTGGGTCATCCATGGAGGAGTGTAAATCCGTTTTCGGGAAGGACATTGTTGTGTTTAGCTACTCTGCTGGTAATTTTGATCTTCTGTTCTTTGTAGAAGAATAACTATATTCTTGCTTGATGATTGGGTGTTTCCTCCCAGAGCTACGGGAATATGATTACAATAGTTCAAAAGCCAGGGCATTAGAAAGGGCCATTGGAATCAAAGTCGTTAGGCATAGTATGCCATCCTCTGATTGTCAGTCAGCATTTGTTTAACAGCACAAGTTTTTGTAAGCTTGTGTGGTATTGATATGTGCATCCATGCTTTCAAATATAGGAGTAAAGAAACCAACGGGAACTGCTGAAGAAATCAAAAAGCATTTCGGCTGTACATCCTCACAACTTATCATGGTACTAACCAGCAACTATCTGCATCATTTTGTGCTTTCTTTAGGGATTACCTGGGAACCTCAAGTATAGATGGACTTTTCATGTTGCTGTTCGTAGGTGGGAGATGGACCCTTCGCATATATTGTTTACGGTAATCGTAACGACTTTCTTACAGTATTAACGAAGCCACTAAGTATGGCAGAGGAGCCTTTCATCATCAGGCAGGTTAGTTGTTCTGCTGTTGACTCTTTTGTGCTTTATGTTTTGGGAACTCATCAAATAGAAGAATGAGAACTAGGCTGTGAATTAAACCCAAGTTTGTTATCATGATATGGTTGCAAGGTGTCTCTAATTGTTATGTTTACACATAAAACGAAAAGATTGATAAATTTTCATTTCACTTTGTTCCTTTAAGGTAACTTGGAGAATCAATCGACCACTAGGATGTTTCAATTCTCAAAAGCATGCATTTGCATGTAGGTTTCCTTATGTATTCAACAGACTTGCTTTTTGGCTATACCTTCTGCATAAACTACTTTTTATTGTTCACTGTGACTCTCAAGTGTCACTTAGCTTTCGCTCAGAAGAAGAAGTGTTATTCACATGCTTGCTCTAGTGCTTCACTATAAGTTACATTTGGGTTGAATTTTCCAACATAGATGACAAGGACAAGTTTCTCTAAGTTGGAAAATAATTTGTTTGTTAGTTGGATTGGATTTTATATACTAGAAAAGACATATTGACATCAGTTCAATGCAGTTCGTATACAAGTGTTTTGCTTATGGAAGAAGTTCTACACATGTATAGTTGGAAGAGGTGTTTCATGCATATTGTCCAATTACTTGAACTTAATGCATGCTTACAAAGAAATGCTTTTGCAGGTGAGAAAACTAGAAATGGACATTTTGAACTACTGGCTTAGAAGTGGCCTTGAGCCAACCGGTCATCATTTGTTGCCGGATCCGATGGAATGTGTGAAAGACGATTCATTGGTTTCCTAAGTAAACATCTCCGTAGCGTAGAACAGTTTTTACATTGACCCGTGTCTTAGCAAGTTTTATTGTTGATTTCAATATTTAATTTATTCTTTTTCCTTAACGTTATCTCCATAACTTTTCATCGACATCAAGAATGGAAAAGGGAACAAGGAGAAGAATAAATCGGGTTAGGCTATTATATAAAACCCGATAGAAAAATGTAATGATTGTGTTTTGGAGCTGAAAATTGTAATGATTGTAATTTGGGAAGGAGATATCTACTTGTTCATATCATAAAAGGGATGAGGAGGGAAATAATGAATTTATGGGAGAGCTAATCGGATTATTTTGAATAGCTAATCAGATATTTAGAGGTTGCTGCAGAATTCCTAGTGTACTGTTAGGGCACTTTCATATGAAAATCCAGAAGGATCATATTTTATATGTTTTATGTTGGATATGAAAATTATTTGAGTAGAAATATCATAAATTTTTTTCCCTCTACAAGATAATATTCATTTTCAAAGATTTTTTTAACAAAAGAATTTCACTTCATATTATCACTATTATATCTCTATATATCATCATGAATAGTGATATAATGATGCTATAATGTTATCATAGTGGTAAGATCATAATATGGCTAGTGAGATGATATTGATAATATCACCATATCATAGTAGTATGCTATTGGTACTATGTCGTATATTGGATAATAATTTAATGACATCATACCACCACTGTAATATCATGATATTATCATGATACCATAGACCATAGTGATAATGCGATGATATCATAGTGGTATATTGTGCAGTCAGTCTTGCTATAGTGGTAAGATCATGATTCGACAATGATAAGATTACAACAAACACGTGTTTTGAAGGACAAATCTTTATTGAGTGAAAGGAAATGATGTGACCACGCCCACCCCACCCCACATGATGTTATTCAAGGTATAATATTTTCTTCACATGGACCGTGGCCTAAGAAATGAATTAAAAGGTTCAAAGAGGATTGAGAGCATTTAAGATGAGTGAAATGACTCTACAAGTAAGGCTTACAAGTTTGTAGGTGTGATTGACAAATTCAAATCTAACAATGCATCTTGTTTATCTTCAATTCGACTCATGAAGTAAAAAGCATATGGGTTGTAACATAAAGATATATGGAGACAACAAATGATCCCACACAAAATATATGGATGATGAAGTATTCATTAAAGGTGGTTAGGTTATTATTATTGCAAGAATACATGTCAATAATTTGGGGTGGCAAATCAATAATCGAGAGACAAAAGGGGCTGCGGATAGGGTCAATAACCCTATGGTGCATATCTTTGCATAACTAAATATGGTCCCTTCCTTTTAAGTGTTCCCCAAATTTAAGGGTTGGCAATTAAAGTCTTTTTATTTTTCCTAACTTTTTAATCGGCTCTTATCTTTTTTGTTCTAACTAGGATTACAATTGTTTTGGACAGCTGGAACGCACTTGTTGTGCTCTACAAAATGAGATTCATTTTCAATATATTTTGAGGTTTTGTTTATGCCACTCATACCACTCGTTACCAACTGGATATCATATGGTATCTCCTTCGTTTTGAAGTTGATTTTGAAAAATTTTGCACAGAAGAAACGAGTTCATTATGATCTATTGGAGCTACGAATTTATTGGGGGGGGGGGGGAATAAATGACCAAAAAATACCACCCCATGCCACCCTGGTATAGGGTTGGTATCTTGTGGTACACAATGTTGAAAGTTGTAAATGTCAGTTAGTATATTCCTACTAGTAGGTTTATTACCACCACGATACACTTCCATAAAATGTGGTATGCTCTTATATAATACCAAACAATACCACCATGTTATAGACTAATACTAAATGCCTCGAAAATTTTTATTCCAAAAATATATCAAAGTGGATATCATTTGGAAGAGCACAGTTTGTCTGATTCATCTGTGCAAAAAATTTAAATTCTGACTTTAAACGAAAGAGATATAGCCCGTTAAAATTTAGAGGAGAAAATATTAAACTTTTCATAAATGATGAAGTGACGCTGATGTGACAGGTTATGCATGGTTGTGCACCTCAAAGTTACGCATCATAACTGCTCCTGACAAATGGCGTCACGCGAGCTTGCATGGTGTATTGTTAGTTAGTGGTTTGGTGGCTTCTGTTATTTGCGGAAGGAAAGTAGTACATCGAGGATTAACAAAAGGAGTTAGGTTCCGCATCTGAAAAGAAAAGGAACATGTGAAAGAGATGAAATAGGTGTCCGCAAAGGAGAAGATAAGGAAAACACACAAAGCTAGTTGTCAGTTGTGCAATTGGAGTTTAGTTTGTTTAATTATTTTATTTGGTTATTAAGAAGTTCAATTAGTATTTTTAGTCTTTCTGAAAACAGTATTAAGTGCAATTGGAGTTTAGTTTGTTTAATTATTTTATTTGGTTATTAAGAAGTTCAATTAGTATTTTTAGTCTTTCTGAAAACAGTATTAAGTTTTTAACTGGTTTGGGACTTGTTTATATATCATTAGAATATTATTTTTATGATTTGTAACCTCTATAAATAGAGGATCTAAGACTTACGAATTTAAGTGACATTTCTTAAATACACCAAGTTTGGTTAATGGTATTTTCTTTGGTTTTGAGCGGAATTTCAGATCTTTTGACTTTTTAGTTATTTCATGGAATCGTGTAGCTTAAAGAATCAAAGGTATCGAAATGCTTATCATTCCTGGCGTCATCCACTTCATTTGATCTAGTGATGCCATTCAATCGAATTGTCTGTTTTGTACGTTAGATTTTTTCGTCTACTTATCTTATGTGTTCTTTGATTTATTCTATCTGTTGTGTACTCTTGTTTAACGATATTAAAACCAACCTATTTGATAGGCTTGTATCCGTAGGCATATGATCATTTCTTATTATGGTCGATTTTGTTGTGATGGATGTCAATAAATCTAGCACTACCTTAATTGGCGACATTTATTAGCAACACCACAACCATTAGTCGACACGGATGGGGGAAGCTCACTATTCCAGGTAGGATCTACAGGTGTCACCTTCAAAATGGAAGGGCGATGCGTCACACTCATATTGATGAGAATAATAACGATAATGCACATGATAATACCATATAGCCATTAACTTTTGTAATAACATGTTTCTCTTACAACCCTCTTGAAATATGCATGGTTTATGGTTTCAAGGGAGAAGGAGACGAATTGGAACAAGAAGAGCAACAAGAATATTTGGAAGGTGAAGGTGATGCACCAAAGGAGGAGAAGAGTTGGCAAAAACCCTAACCATTCCTACCCTTAAGACCTCATACGAGGAGCCTCATGCTTTGGAGCTCAAACCATTACCCACACATCTTGAATATGCTTATCTAGATGAAGATTTCAAACTACCCGTGATAATTAGCTCCTCTAAGATCCCTAAGTAGTAGGAGTGTTTGTTAGCTTCACTCCAGAAACACAAGAGAGCTATGACATGGAAAATCAATGACATCCAAGGGATAGATCTCTCATGTTGCATTCATAAGATCCCTATTGGAGATTGAGTAAAGCTAGTAGTGCAGACTCAATGACAACTAAATCATCACATGAAGGAAGTCGTAAAGAATGAGGTTCTCAAACTACTGGATGCATGAATCATTTACCCCATCTTAGACAGCCCTTGGGTAGGTCCTGTGCAGGTGGTCTCCAAGAAGGGGATATAATTGTAGTAACTAACGAGAATGAAGATCTTTAATCTTACTCGAATAATCATAGAGTGGCAAGTGTGTATTGGCTATAGAAAACTAAATGACGCCACTCGAAAAAATTACTTTAGGTTACATCATCATAGTCTGTAAAGATTAGCAGTACACGAGTAATACTACTTATTAGACGAAATCTCTGGCTATTTACTGGTCCCCATCGATCTAGTTGATCAAGAAAAAACTATGTTTGCATATCCCTATTGTATATTTGCGGTTCGTCGGATACCATTTAGGCTGTGCAATGCCCCTGCTAAATTCTAGCATGACATGACTGCCATTTTCATCGACCTTCTAAAAGATGTGGGGGAGGTATTCAAGGATGACTTAGTCTACAGGGAGTCCTTCTCATAATGCCTAGTTAACTTAGAAAAAGTCCTCGTTCGTTGTGAGAAATCTCATTTGGCATTAAGTTGGGAAAAGAGTCAAAAGAAAAGATTGCAAGGCTGAGGGAGAGGGAATCGAAGTAGATACCAAAAATTGAAACGTTTTCTAATCTACCTCCGACCACATCTATCAAATCTATAAAAATCTTTTTAGGCCATAACGGCTTCTACATACGATTCATCAAGAATTTCTAAAAAAAATCATCCACGAAACAAATTCATAGAAAATGACCCGGTGTTCAAATTTGGCCAAATCTCAAGCTCTTGTTCAAGTTCCTTATGCATCAACTTACTCAGGCTCCTATCTTAATGGCACCCGATTGGTCATTACCATTTGAGCTCATGTGTGATCCTCGCAATTACGCCATCAGGAAAGTACTAGGGTAGCAGAAGGATAAGCAATTTCATCTTAATTATATATTGCCAATCGCACTCTTAACTATGCCTAGAAAAACAACACCATCAACGAGAATGAGTTGTCGGCCCTAGAGTCCATCATTGAAAAATTATGATCCTACCCATTGTAATCTCATGTGATAGTTAACACCGATCATCGAGAATTATGATAATTTTTGTCGAATGCTAACTTCCCGACCCTAAATCGCAGTTCATCATTTGGGTTCTCCTACTCGAAGAATTTGATATAGAGATCAAAGATAAAAAAGGGAGCCAAGAACATGGATGTCGATCATCTCTCCTTATTAGATTAGGCGGCTAAAGCCCTAACAGACCCAGTTGGGATTAATGACTTCGTCTTAGATGAGCAAATTTTTCTTGCTATTGTAGAAACGGTATAAGGTCCCTGGTTCATTGATTCTGCTTATTATCTAACAACCGAGACCTTACCATCATACATTACCTTCCTAGAAAAAA